CAAGAAATTCGTTCGCCCAAACCGGTGTGTGGTATCGATGCTGGTTTACGGTTACCGATTACCTATTGTGATACTGATTATTTTATATAGAAATTCGTTGTAATGATCGGGATGCCCCCTCCAAATCAAATATAACATGCTGTCGTTCCCGCGCATTTTGAATATTACAAATTACAATTTATTGTTGAACTTTAAGGCGGGTTTCCACTATACAACTATACAAGTGTACGTGCATAATATTAATCCTTTGCTTTGATTGGTTATTTAGGTTAAGTTACCACACGATTAACCCGGCACACGTGTATAGTAGAAACCCACCTTTAATCATCCGAGTCTTCTGTTTCTGTTTTTTATTCTTTTAAATAACTTTTAAAAGTTAAAATGGGTACTGATAAAGAATTGGATTCCTTAAAACTCCAATTAGTTAAAGAATTTTTGTTAAATAAAAATAAACTTAGTTCTTACATTGTACAAGGATTTCCTACGCCTAAAAGAACACTTTTCGGTAAGTATTTTTACAAGATATATTTTTGATTTACTTTAAACCCGAATGTGACCATTTGTTTTCAATACTTACTAATATTTTTAGAAATGCATGACCTATTCTATTAGCCATATTCATAGATCGTACTAAGCCAATACTTAGTGGGAACTTAGTTTAAATCACCATTTTTATATTCATAAAATAATCTTAATAAGTACTAAGTATATTCTTAGTAAAATCTAATAGTTAGTAAATTCGTATTCATAAATAGGATTTACACATAAAGTTAGAAAATGTTTAGGTTATAATTAGTGAAATCTCAGTAAGCTCTAGTGCTCACTTAAACAAAAGTTATTTTATAAATTATAAATTTCATAATTTAATTAAAATGGATGATTATATGGATGACAATTATGATTTTTTTAATGAACTAATTCAAGGCAGAGCACAAAAAACATATAAAAGAAATATTATAAATATTAATCCTATTAATTTTTATTCGGACAGTGAGTTTTTTAGAAGGTTCCGATTACCCAAAAAAATATTTTTAAATATTTTAATGCCTATGGTATTTACTGAACAAGAACGTCAAATCCATACAGACCTGAGGGGATTACCTGTGAACAAAATGTGGAAAGTTCTGATAGCATTAAGGTTTTATGCGACTGGATGCTACCAAGTAATTTTACTTTTGGAAGTTACTTTAATATTAATGTTTTATTTACTATATTTTTTTTTTCCAATTTAGTTGGTTAATGGAGATATGTTTGAATTAGGTCAGTCAACTATTAGCCGAATTGTAAAAGATGTGTCTTTGAGAATTGCCAACAATTTAAGGGCGTGGGTCAATTTTCCTTTACCTAATCAAGTAGAAATTGTCCAAAAAAAATTTTACCAAATATCCAAATTTCCTGGAGTTACAATGGCTATGGATTGCACACATATACCCATTAGTAGTCCAGGGGGTGAACAAGCAGAATATTTTCGGAACAGAAAGGGGTGGATGTCATTGAACGTTCAGCTAATAGTAGGACCTGATATGGAAATTTTTGATGTTGTGACCAGATGGCCTGGATCTGTTCATGATTCAAGAATTTTCCAAAATAGTAGAGCATTAGAATTAATGGAAAACGGGTAAATTGATAATATACAATGTTATGATAAAAATAAAATACCTATTTAGAATAAAACTGTTATATAACTACAATTTGAATTTTTGATATAACTTTTGTAGGCTGGTAAAAGGTATATGTATTGCTGATGGTGGTTATGCACAAACACAGTTTGTATACACCCCACATCCAAATCCAATTACGAATGCACAAAAAAAATATAACTATTCTCATATCAGAACGAGGAATGTGGTTGAGCGAGTAAATGGTGTATTGAAGAGTCGATTCCGTTGTCTGAGTCGCAAGTTGGGAACTGCAATTAAAACATCGAGTAACATAATAATAGCTTGTGTTATACTACATAATATTTGTGTCAAATATAAAATAGAGATGCATTTAGATGAAGAAGAACTACAGTTTCAATATGAGACTGTTGATGCTGAAGTAATGAATGATGGTGGAAATAATGGTTTTAATATAAGAAACTCTTTTATAGCTAGACATTTTATGTAATTAATAAAGAAATACAAAATAAAGAATATAATACTTTTTATTCCTACAAAATATAAGATCATACCTTTTTTGATCATGACACAACAAAACTAAAAACAATTTTAAAAATCTTCAGTACATAATATTATTAATAAGTAATGAGTAATAGGCACTAATGTCTAATATTTAATAACAAGCTAAACATTTATAAATAAAACAGCAGTCTTTTATAATATTGCCAATTGTATATAAAAAAAAAAAAACAAAATATAACTTTATAAACAATTCATAACTATAACATTACAATACAATTTTAGCTCAACTTGGCAATTTATTACAACTACAAAATACTCATTATAAAAAATACTTTTACACATTTTTTTATCAGCTTTGGTTACTTTCTTTCAAAAATAGTTTGTACTTTTGTTCAGCTAATAAAAGATTTTGTTTGACTTCTTCCAAACGTATTTTATGAATCACAGCATCTTGTTCAATTAATATTTTCTGCCTTTTAATTCTAAGATCTGATTCTTCTTTAAGGACTTCAAGTCTTATAGTGTCAAATGTTGATTCGTTGGCCTCTGAAACAGGAAAAAGAAATTCCTAGGTTAGTTAAATAAATACTGACAATACTACAGTCAATAATAATAATCACTTACTGTTTGATATTTTCTTGAAGTTGTTTACGGTAGGTGATTCTCTACTATTCAACTCTAAAATCACAAAACAATTTATAAAAAGTAAATAAAATTTTGTTTTGTTTAATAACAAATTATTTCAAACCTTTTTCTTGATTTGGTAAATTAATCAATTTGGTAATTTCCTCAGAAGCTATTAATGTAGTTTTGACTTCGGTATGTTGTCTCATAAACTCATCACCATCTAATACAATATCACAGTCTAAATACAAATACACATATCACTTACAAAAATTAAAATCTTTAAATATTATAATTAATTTTACACAAATAAAATAAAATAAATATTTTTTTATATATTTTTTTCTTATCATAATGACCAAGAATTTTTTAAATATCTAATATATTAGTTTACTTTTACAGTATTTATGATATATATAAATACTAAACAAATAACATTCATCATTCAGATTTATTTTATTTTATTACTAATAAAAAATGTTTTAAACCCTTCGCTATTTATATTATTAATTAATAAAGGTGATACCATAGAAATTCAAAGTTGTATTTTAACTTAGTAGAAATAATATGCTATTGTAATTTTATAATATATAATTTAATGCTAACAAACATCTTATTATTTTTATTTATTATAATATATTGCACATTTTTTTTTTTGGAAACTAATTAATATCTGCTGCACGCTCTTCAAAACAAAAACAAAATAATTGAAGATATGTTTTGAAAGAATAATAAACACATAGGCACAACTAGGCAGACTTAGGGGTGCTTTGCCTGTTTATAATATTAAATTGTATAATTACCTTGTAAAATAGTCTCAAAATTATTTGGAGCTGATGATGACATATTTCTTAAGGAATCCGAATCTAGAACGCCATGCACTTCTATATCAGTTATAGTAGTTAAAAACTGATCAATGGCTTCATTTGTTGGTATAGTTTCTTCTGGCCCTCCACCAGTCTTTTTTTTATTTCTTTTTTCAGCACATAGTTCGGCTTTTTTGTTATTTTTTCTGTTCTCCCAACATTTTTTGAGATTAAGAGCAGAACGCTAGTACAAATTGATACATTTATCATACAAAATATTGCATAGTGCATAACAATTGGATAACTTACTGAAACGTTTAATGCAGCTGCATTAAATTCATCTGCCACAATATTCCAATACTTCGATTTTTGGGCTACTTGTACCGCTCCTTTTTGTTTATTTTCCAATACATGTTTATATTTAAAAACTAAACTGTCCAGCAGATTAATTTCATCTGCTTGGAATACCGGGTTTCGTTTAATAAGTTTTTCCGTCATACTACTTACTATAAGAATACTAAAATATTCGATAGTATCAAGGTGGATTTACCTTGAGAACAAGATCCACCTTAGGTATAACTATAACACTAGAATCATGACTAAATAAACAGGCATGTCAGCTAAAATTTCATTTTCGCTATCATTGCGCATGTTCCCCAGTCATGGCATATACGATATCAGATACATGGAGTGGAAAGTAATCCACAATGATATTATCAATTATTACCTATTCAAAATTTCATAATTATGATCATGATTCATGACTAAATAAAGTAATTTAGTCATGATTATAATATACTATTATAACACTTATTAGTTAATTACATTTTATATTTAAATTTTTTATAGTCAGTTAGTATTTATTATTTAGTATGATAATTAGTTATAGAATAAACTGTTATAGGTATATAAAAATGATATTCCAATAGTCAATAGTTTTATTAATTTCATTGTTCATTCTGTAAATTATACTTTATTATAATACAAAATAAGTGAAGACATAACAAATTGTAAAATATTTCTTTTCTTTGATGTTATATTGTATTATTGTTCAAAACTTATATTATTACCGCATTGCTGTATTGGTGTTGTGTATTATCTTACAAATAAATAATTTAATATTATACCTACCATCTTTTATTTGACCATCTTCCTTGCCACAAGCATCTAACCACTTTTTCCTTACTTTAGGAGATTTGGGTAACCTGTAATAACTTATGTCCTTACTAGGTCTTCTGCATGAGTTATTTGGACAACTTGGTACCATACAGTTCGGCATTTTTTATAAGATTTGGTTTCAAAAGACAAAATTAAAACAAACTATATATCATAAAAATTCAAGTTTTTATTGTTCATCGTACAAAAGACAACATAAAATGTACAGGATAATATTAAGTACAAAACAAAGTATAAACAAATTTAAAATCATTAAAGTTATAAATAAATTATTACCCAGATATAAACCCATATTTACATAGATTTATAAGAGTGGCCAATTATGAAATACAAAAATTAATATTTTAAAAATGTATAGTTAATGTATAAGTTTTGTACAATTCAAAATATACCGGGATTTCATTCTTCCATGCATTTTAGCGTTTATTCCAAGTCTGGGGAACATTTCATGCGCAGTGTTATCGGGCTGACATGCCTGTTTATTTAGTCATGG